CTCACAGATAGAACCCTGAAACAACCTCTGGGCTGATCTAAGTCAGGGCATGGCTAACTCACAGATAGAACCCTGAAACAATCTCTGGGCTGATCAAGTCAGCACATGGCTAACTCACAGATAGAACCCTGAAACAATCTCTGGGCTGATCAAGTCAGGGCATGGCTAACTCACAGATCAAACCCTGAAACAACCTCTACGCTGATCTAAGTCAGCACATGGCTAACTCACAGATCAAACCCTGAAACAACCTCTGGGCTGATCTAAGTCAGCACATGGCTAACTCACAGATAGAACCCTGAAACAACCTCTGGGCTGAATGAAATTAAGACTTTTTATTTATATTGTCTATTTTTATTTTGTGGCATGGGTGTAAAGTAGCTTTTAGCTAAGTCCATTGACCACGGTAAATAAAGGTTATTATTATTATTATTATTATCATTATTATCATTATTAATCGAACAAACTTTGATCACGTGTGATGTCGTGAGCGATGCTGTGAAAGATGCTTATTGTCTTTGCGCATGGGCGGTTGAAACGTATAACCCAATGATTAGCAAAGCCAGGCCTATTTTTTCGTTGTCTTGTTCGATAGACTGCAATTAAAACACTCATTAATAATCCATAGGCTTATGGTCCAATTGGAGTCACCATACACGTCACGTGCATGAACCTTTATACCCGATAAAGTCCTCTTCATTAGTATTCAAGTGATTTTATATAAAGACACATGTGATCTTTATATAAAGACCACTCGAATACTATGAGGATGACTTCATCAGGGATGAAGTATGCATCCAAGTTTAGATGAAGACATAGAGCTTCATCAAGGCCATAGTCAACCCTAAACTTCTATTGAATCTGGTTGCGCATGCCCGTGACGTCAAATCTCTATCGAAGTATAAAAATCCATGTTCGTGACGTGTATGGTGGCTCCAGTTGAACCAAAATCTTATAAATTGTTCATGAGTGTTTTAAGCAGTTCAAAAAACTCGTAGATCGTGTTTTATCAGGTATAAAAGCACTCGGCTACGCCTCGTGCTTTTATACCTGATAAAACACTCCTACTCGTTTTTTAAACACTACATAATATACCCGTGAAATAGTTAGGATGAAATATAGGAGATAGTTAACATAGGAATTCAGTGAGGAATGACAAGGGCACGGGCGTTTACTAGAGTAACAACTCAATACGCAAATGAATGGACACGAAAATGCGAACATGTCAAATTATACGAAGGAATATCATGTACAACAAAATATTGTTTCAGTTTTTTAAAGTGTGTTTAGAAATATTAAAAAATGCGCGCCCTTGAGTAGAAGACGTGCACTAGTTTACCCGTCACGGCTCGCCTATTTTAACTAATTAGACTTAGGCAACCAGTAGCACAAAAATTTCCGGATGCGTGTGGACGGGGCCTTAGGCAACCAAAGGTTAGTAATTAGTTTGCTAGCTATCTATTTCACGGGCACTCTATCGTCATGCCATTAATTTTAATAACCCATGACGTCACCCTTAAGGAAATTAAAAAGGGCRAAAAAATATAGCTGGAAGGGGTTCCTGTTGTTAAACTTACGTCAAAGAGTTTTTTTAAAACAATTAATTCAAGTCATATACTGAGAAATAGTCATATACTGCGTAGAAAACTATAGCCTGCGTTGCATCCGGAGTTTTCTTCAGACTTTGCGGAGGCTAAAGAGACTAGTATATGACTGTTAAAAAGGAAATACTATGATGATGAACAGATAGAATTTCTATTAAGGCAACTGGTTAAAACCAAAACAATGCTATGCGTAAGCTCCTGTGTTTTTATTTTAAGATGATTCAGCTAAATATAATTGTACAGGAAGTAATAATAGCAGGGAAGGGGGGTGGGGGTAGGGAGTGATATGTCCATACGTTATCCTAAAAGCCTCCAATACTCTGGACATATGATTTCTTGCCCTCCCCTTGCTTACGAACTCATATTAATGCATCCTACTTCTTTTTTTAGTTTTCCACCCACTCTTGTACTCAGAGCCCACGTTCTCTTCGTTAGCACCGAGAAACTTATTTTCTAATATTTTACGTGTCAGTTAGCCATTTTATTCCTGGAAAGACTCTTTTTATTATTCTTTTTCATTGCGGACCAATCAGAGCACTCGGGAAATTAAGGCAGACACACGGTGCAACATTGCAGGCAATGTTGCYGAAGTAGGATAGTTTTCTACTTCAACAACGTTGCGTKCAACATATTGCATCGTGTCATGGCTCGCAACATCGATTGCATGCACGCTGTGTGCAATGTTGCACCGTGTGTCCGTAGCTTTAGTTGCCGCCAGAGCCTCTCGATTCTCGGTGCTGACCAAGGGCAGCATGGGCTCTGGGTACGAGGTTGTAATCCACCCTTACAAGTAACTCAGGAAGCCACGCTCTTCAGCCTCTCCCTTCTCCCCT